GACATTAGTTCATTTATCCTGGATATGTTCTTCAGCTGATAAATCAATGACTTAGTAATTGCCTTGATGTGCCTCTGAAGGTTCTGGTCTGAGTCCATCATGACACCAGGCAACTTCTTACCAAACCTTCTCTTCCTTTGGGAACAGCGTTAAGGGACCTATGTCATCCAAGAACAAGTTGTTTTAGCATTTAATTCTGTTATAATACTATTCCATTATCAGAATCATGTATCATCATGTATGTCAAAGTGGCATTTAATTTAATTAATGCATCTGATGATAAATACTCCTGAGTTCTGTTGTCTATAAACCATCCCCTCCCTGATCTGCATTGGCTCTTTTAGGAGACATTTTAGCTAATGTCTATATTTTGAAACTCTTTTTTTTGGCCTTTAAGAGGTCTCAGACGGTTCAGCCTTCAGAAGTGGTGTGATACAGTGACATCATAAAATGGGTGACATCCAGACTAGGAGAGACAGCTTCGCTTTGAAGGCAACTGCTGTCTTTGAGGTTGATATCCAATTAGTTCTACAGTTCAGGCATTACTTTATCATTTTAATTTTCTTTTGGATCTAGGTGCCTTTGGTTGGCTAAAAGAAAGTTTGATGTACTGTAGGACATTTAACTCTTTAAAGTAGAGATGTAATATAACGATTAATTATAATAAATGATTCTATGATTTGAGTTCTCATTGACATGATAGCATCATAAAGGTGTTGCAGATTTTTCACAGCTGATGCAAATCTGTTTCACTACATTCATATGGAGCTCTGTTAGATTAGACATTATTAAGATCGGTTTATGGTTGAGGCCATGTGAGCATACAGAATTTATTCTCATGTTTAAGAAGCCAGTCAGAAATTATTTCAGCTTCTGGACATTTTGTGTTACCCTGGAAGTAGCCCTCGGATGATGGATTACACTGTGTTCATTAGGAGATGGACACTTGCTGCAGCACTGCTATAGTAGAATATGACTTTAAAAAAATGCTCAGTTGATACATAAAGACCCAAATATTACACAAAAAGAAAATATCCTCCACACTCTTATACCACCATGACCAGCATAAACTATGGATGCAAAGCAGGACAGGAAAATACTGTAATGTCATTTATACCATATTTGGACCATAACACCTGAATGCTGCATTAGAGCTGGCAAATCTATTTGCAAATTAATATTGTTCAAATCTGGGGAACCTACGTTCCTTAGTCTGTTACTTTGTTTTATTTAACATTGGACACATTCTTCATGCAATTCTACTTGCCTAGGCTGTAAAAGTAATCATTTGAGCTATATTTGTCATTCTATCATTTCTAATCAGTCTTCCCATTCTGCTCTGAACACTGATATCAACAAGGCATTTGGTCCATGCAAATGTTACTTTTTGGATATAATTTTTCCTATTTCCTTCGATTCCGTTTACTCCTGGAGATGTCAGAAACTTGGCAGTTTAATATATGGCAGTTTAATTTTAGGCATAATCTTTTCACTGTTTCATCTGCATGGGTCCTTTCTGTCCGTCTCTACATGTTAAAATGAGGACTTCCTGATAGAAAAAGATTAAGCGATTCATGCAGGTTCAATGGAAGATATTTGTCTTCTTTTTTATAGCAACAGAGCTAACCTAGGAAGGCAAAGTTCAAGTATGTCAGAATGGCATAATTTGAGGCCACTACTTTTTAAATACTTTATTTTAAATGTTTTAGAATATTTGCTTTCAAGTACCTGTGTCTGCAAGAAAAAAAGGACCCATGTTGTTTGAAAACAATAAAGGGAGCCAGTTTGAAGTCCGGTCATTGAAAGCATCTGTGTGCTGAAGTTCAGCAGCTGGTTTTTGACACTTTACAAACAAATTGCCCCCAGGGAACAATAAATATCAACCCAACTGGACTCCAGTAACAGCCACTTTTAGGGCACACATCAGGAAATGGTGAGCTCTGTCAGCCAAGCGATATATGGGAAATAATTCTCAGGAAACATGAGGCGTTTGTATTTTTTTTTTTTACTACTTGTTTCTTTTAAAACATTTAAGTTCTCACTGACTACAGAGATCTTTTCCTGCCAGCTAATAAGCTTTATTGAGACACCGCGGTCTCCCCTACTGGGCTTCCCTTGGCACATGCAACTTTCTGTCACTCAGGTCTGAGTTTCCCTGATCCCGTCGCTGCAGGAAGACATGCCCATCGCTCCAACACAACAACTAATTACTCTGAATCCTCTGAGTAGGATTATGAGGGTGTTGGGGAAGATGAGGGGATGGACGTACAGGACGAGATGCATTACTTTGACACATCTGCCCCCACCTCTGAGACTGCCTCCTTCATCCTGACCCACTTCTGCTCCGTCATTCCTCAGGTACACTGAGCCTGCTTGGTCGACTGGGTAACAGCGGGACCATAATACAACTTCCAGGACCCTAGTCCCAAAAAAAAACTTTTCATGTACCAGACATTCCAGTTACCTGAGCCAAAATTAAACACAATCGTTTGCAGGTTGTTATTTTGCTCAACAAGCACAGACTGTTTGCTGTAAACAGTGTTGCTTAATTGTGACATAGTGAAAGAACAGGTGTCATCGTGTCCGGACCTGTTAGGGATCCAGATGGCCCTTTACATCATTCGAATCCACCTTTCATTCACAAACACTGTCTCATGAAACAGTCCACAGGGGAAGGTTTGCATAGTTTTTGCTGGTAAAGCAAAGATCCTTTAGTAAATGGCATGTGTCACATTTGTTTTCACAAATTCGTTGCCCTGGCTGCAGATTCAAAGCAATGTATTGCTTGGTCCAGTCTGTCATGGGTGGGTGTGGTGTATCATAAGGGTGGGCTTTCAGGAAGGCAGGAATGTGAGGGAGAAAAGCCCTTCAATAAGAAAACCACATGACATGTCCAACATAAAACCGCATGTTGCAGGCAGAAAAAAAAAAGGGACTGAAAGGCAAACATACAGTTGGCAGTATACAAGTCTGGATTATAGATATATATCTATTTTTTGACATTCACAATGTGGAAATCAAAAAATATTTTGGCTTGCTTTCCAGATATTGTGTATTTATTTAGATTGGTGTAGTAAAATAATCTAAGCCAGAAAGTGCTATACATTTTTTTTCCAGACTTTCCAGAAACAGAATTCTAGGAAACTGTAGTGTGTTGAGAGTCTATGAATATCGCTTTTCAAGTCCTGCCACAAATTTAGAATTATATCTCATCTTAACTTTGACTTTGCTTTTGTAATATATGAAAATACACTCTACCAAATCATAAAATGTTGGTTTTAGTTTTGTGTTATATATCATTGTCCTGCTGGAAAAGTTTTTTTTTTTAATGGTTTCAACTTAATTTGCTGATCTTTGAACTTGTTTTTACATAGGAAGTATTAATCCCAGGTAAATGATAAGACAATCTGACTAACTTTAAGCCCTCTAATTTTGCGACTGTTATATGAACGCACAATACTGTAAAAATAAAATGTCCTGTCATACCAACAATATGTCATCCTTCTTTTCATCTCTCTTCATGCATGTGCACATTCTGCTCGTAGAAATCATGGGGTGGATCTTTCATCATAAAATGCTGAAAAACCCGTTGTCTCTGTGTATACGACAAAAGGTTCAGCTACGACTGCTATTCTGTTTCTGCACAGGCAAAAAACTGCACACTTACACCTCCATGTCTCCGTCCTAGTCAAACTTGCAGACACATACACACTCCTGCTGCAGAACAGATTATGTTTTGACCATGTAACAGTTACACCAACCTTTCTATTATTTAAATAAATTCTTTTTTTGAGGCATGACTGCTTGTCATGCCAGCCATGACTGCATGTATTCAGGTCTTTGACATCGACCGTTCAACTGCATCGAGGCAAATACAGGCACAAATCTGCAAGACACACACCATTTGATCTGTTCTGCTCTGGCAATAGCAAAAATATGCTTATTCAAATGAGAATATTTTTTTTTTATATAGTTCCCCAAGGAGTCTCTCAAGGGCCTGCTTCAGTTACCTCTAATTTTTCTTTCTTTCAGGCTTTGCCTTGTAAGTGTGCTTAAACCCAGGTCAGCTTACAGCCTTGGTCTGGCCTGGGACAGGATAATTGGATATGGCCCCCCCTGCCACCCCTCCCCAACCATGACATTTATACCTATTCAATCAGGCTAGGGCTGCAACTAATGATTATTTTGCAAATCGATTAATCTGTCAATCATTTTTCCTACTGTATTAATCGATTAATAATTGGATAGCCAAAGGTTCCTTAAAGAAGTCTTTACATCATTAAACTAAACTTTTCCACTTTATGAGTTCTTGATACAGCATATTGTCAGTTTTCTTTTTTTTTTTTTATCTTAAATGCAAAATATTTATATATTTTTTATTTATTATTTTGTTTGGTATAATAACTGCTTTAAGTGGGCCAAAATATCAGCTAAAGGCACGTTTTACGGTCTCTATACTCCAGTTACAGAATAATTGATTGCTAAACTAGTTGAGGATTATTTCAATAAGCGATTAATCCAATTAATTGTTTCAGCCCTGAATCAGGGTAATCAAATAAATGTAGCTACATTGATGTCCAAAAACGTAAATTTTTTTAACATTTTTGCCATACTGAGCTAAAGAGGCTGTAGACTAGTGGTATTTGTGCTTTACTGGGATTCACCATTACTTAATTCAAGTGTTGCACTTTTTTATCCACTAATAGTAGATTCAAAGGGAATAAAACATTTGGAAAAAGAAATCTTTATTATCCTTTATCCCTTTCTTTTTCTATCTTATAATAATGTAACACTTTTTGTTGTTCCATCCCATAAGATCTATTACATTATTTCAATGCGTTTTATTTAGTGAAGACATACAATCATTTAGTCAAAATAAAAGGATGTGAACATTTCTGAAATGCTGGTTGTGAGCTCATTTTCTGAAGCATTTTTTTCTGCTTTTTTGAATTTTCTCTTTGCTTTTACTGTTAAGTAATTTCTTTTTTTCTTGTTTGCAGCATATGCAGTAATTGCGAATGGTCAAGTTGAATGTCCCCAAGGGTTTAAAAGGATGAATGTCACCCACTGTCAAGGTAAGTCAAACAATTAAAAGGTTATTCTTTTAATCCACTGCCTATTTGTAGCAGGACAATAGCAACATTAGATCAGAGTTCTTATCTAATCTGATCTTTGTTTCAATCGACATGCAGCGAAGGGAGAGTATTTGTGATCCTTTTAGTGTTTCCTGCATTTAGTTGATCTACGGCTTGTAGATATTCCAACACTAGAAAACCAGCAAAGCCATCCTTCTTTCCAAAAAGCTTCAAACATCACACGCAGATAGTTCTATCTCACAGCAGCATGACATCAAATTATTATCAGGGTTTATGATCTAACAAGCAAAAACACAATGTCTGCTCTGTAGTGTGTCTCATTTTACAGTATTCAGTGCATTCCTCTTGGTTCATGGCTTTAGTAAATAAGCATTGACTGCAAATCAAGGAAAAGAATGCTGATTTTTAATCTAGGTTCAAGGCTGACAAGAGTGATGTTGATACTTGAAATAACAAAAAACAGTCTGCTTAGAGTCTTGCCATTGACTTGATTAACAGTGTCATAATCCAAGAGGCAGTGCTTACTGAAGCCTATGGAGTATAATAACATAATGGTTCAGTGGGCAGATTTGGACACCTCCATGACAGATCTCACCATCTGGTTCAGTAGGTTCAACATACTTCCTGATCTGCACAGATTTTGTGGTGTTTTCTTTGATATGCTGAGCATATGAACATTATCCCACATAGCAAAGGCTTCATTATAGAAGTACACTTTTATTTTCCAGTAAAACAATCTCTAGCCAATACATTTTCTAAAATTTTCTTTTATGATTGTTTCAAGCTTTCTCCCTTTCCAGTCACTCATTCATTCTGTTAGAAACAACCCATAAATGGCAGTTGCCCATAATATTTACTGCACTGCTTTAAAGTCTGCATACTGTGTAGCTGTTGCTGTTCCATTGAGTCCTAGTTTCACATCTCTCTCCAGCAGCCAAAAGGACAAAAAATGTGCTTCTTGTGGGAGGTTTTCATTACTTTCAGAACGGCGTCCAGCGTGCCCAAGTGTGGCTTCTATTTTCAGCTGCTTGTTGTGTTTTTTATTGGAAAAGAGCAATGCTTGTCTCATAATAGATCTCATCTACTGCTGTTAAAAGGCTTGCAAAAGTATTCATGCATCTTAAGCTTTTTTCACTTTTTTTCTCGTTTTAACCTCAAACTTGTAACCTATATTGGAGTTTTCTTTTTTTTTCACCACTTTTTGCTGCAAATGCAGGTTCAGTTTTTTGGGTTGTGGTTTAACTTGCTTTGCCCACCTAGAGACTAGAATTATCCAATAGTTTTATCTGGAAAAATAACTAGATATGGATGGATAGTATCTATGAACAGCAGCAGATCTTCCTTTATATAACCTAGGTCTGGACTATGACTAGATATGCTTCCATCTAAATGTATTGCTCTGGCTTTATCTTGAGGGTTTGTTTCTTGCTGGGGGTGAAACTGCAACTTAATCCTAACGCTTTTGTATCTTCTGATATTTTACTGTATTTACCTTTATCTGTTGTCCAGTTAACTTAATTATTAAGTCACTGACTTGTAGAAGTTACTCCTGCTGGACGTACAAACAGCAAACAAAAAATCTATTGCATTAACTACAAAGAAGTCCCTCACATTGGGCATTACTTAGAGGCAAGAGACAGGAAAATAGCATTTAAGAAAACCTGGCTGAGTTGGAGCAGCCATCTGCCACAAACGAAAAGTTTGAGAAGACAGAGCACAAAAAACTTGAGCAAGCTTCACTGTTTCTGATGCAGAAAAGGATGCCCTCAGCATGATGCTTCCATGGCCATGTATCGCAATGGGGATGGTTTGTTAAAGGTAACATACATTAGGTGTAACTTCTTCCAGATTTTTTCCACTATTGTTCCCTAACTACCTTTGAAGTGATTTTCTATGAAACTATTTAAACAGTTGATTAAATTTGTCATTGATTACTAGGGAGGCTAAATCTCCACCTGTCAATTTCATAAAGTAATTGGTTAAAATTTCTTAAATATAGTCAATAAATTGAATGAAATTTGCACTATAATGCGTTTGATTTCATGAGTGTGTTGCGCATTATTCAGCTGTTGAGCCACTTTGGAGGAGCAGGAAGCGCCCTGTTAGTCTCTACAGTATATATGAAATCCCTTTTGAGGTTTGAGCCTCTGTGCATTGAAGCAACCAGTGAGAAATAGGTAACATAAAAAAAAAAATCTGTCAATTCCACTGAGGAAGTGACAGATTTGGAGCAGGGGCGGGCCAAAGGCGGGTCATGAAATTAGCTGCTCGATGCTGAATGGCCAAACACGCTAAAAGATTCGACTTACGTTGTCCCTAGGGAGGGTGTTCCTAAAGGGACTCAGAACAGAGAGGAAAAAGCAATCATGGAGTTTATTATTCCAGAGCACTTCACAACAGCTATTTTTAACCATTTTAGTAATATATTCAATGTGTTTTTCAGCATATGTTAATGCAATACATTATGATTGGATTTAATTAACACCATTGTGACTCCCCTGTTATGCTTGTGTTAAATAAAAGCCCAATAAAAATATTTCAACTTCTGGTTGTAGCTTAAAAAAAATCTTGAGGAGCAGCTGGGATATAAAAACTTTTTTAAAGAACTGTATTTATGTAAATAATGCAGTTATTGATATCCTCCCCAGAGTGTGAAAGACTCCCTTCAATGACTCAGTGAGTGCTCTGAATTATTCCTTATCTTTAGATGCTGCTTTGGAGAAACTCATCTAGCTGAATGGTCCATGTGTAGCTGTGCTTGTTAGATGAAAGGCCAACAGAAATGCATGAGCAAGCTCTGTTGTGGGTGGTAAACTTGCACTGGTAGAAGGTCGTGTTACTCATATACCACTTCAAAGAATAGTTGATGGGAGTCTTGCATAATTCTTTTGACATCTTGAATTATCTAAATAAAAGCTAACAGCAAATTTAAAACACTCACATTTGACATTCATCATCCTAACTACTCCCTGACGGATCAATATTAATTTGCCTGTTATGTTTCTTAACAATGTGTGTTTGTAAACCACTGTTGACATCCTTAAATAGATTCCATTTTTAGACCATGTTGTTTGGTCTAGTTTGAAGCTTTGAAGTCTGAATGAAGCCAACTTTCTCTGTTACATAAGGGACCTATGTAGTTTAAAAAACAAAAAAGTACCACATTTGATTTCTACGTTTGGAATTTCTGAATGAAAATAACAAAAATGAGTACAGAAAATATTTGGATTTAAAATTGTTATTTCCTAACTAATTGCCCCTCCTTGCTTTCTATTATCCCCCCTTTAGTCCTTTGTATTTTTCTTTCTTTCTTTTTTTTCATTTGAAGCCTGGCAGTTCTTTCTTTCTTTTCTTTTCTTCCTCCTTTCTGGCTTCCTTCTGCTGTTCCCTTCCTTATGTGTTATAGCCCTTTTTTCTATCAACCTTTCCATCCCTATGTTCAGCTATCTTTACTTCCTTTTCACCTTCCTATTTTGCCTTTAATAATTAATTCCTTTCTTTGTTGCGTAAGTTCTTCATTTTTTCAACCCTTTCTACATGATCTCCCTCCTTTCTTCTTTCTTTGTGTTTTGCAGCTCTTCTTTTACTCCATTCTTTTTGTTCTGCCTTCCTTTGACTCTGTGCAGGATCAAGGTTTTTAAAGCTTCTCTAAACATATTTTGCATAATGTTGTAATGGACCTTTTCATTCGTATTTTGAAATAGACTCTTAGGCTATTAACCTGAGAATTCTGACAAACGCAACCTAGAAAAGTCTGAAGAAAGTCATCTCTGAACTAAGTTTAGGAACCCTGATTACAGCTGATGCATACTGGAAAGAGAGGTTAGATTTCGCTGATTTTTTTTTGACACTTCATGAACAATTTCACAAGTAACTACATGAACTTTACTTTTCAAGTCAAGAAAAGGCAAGATGAGGTAAGGTCACAGAAACTGTTTGACACTTGGTGAACGTGCCTTTTTCCTTGCAATTAGACTGTAAAAACAATCATGTTAAAGGCTACCTACACCCAGCACGAGCAACCAAGCGTGAACTCAAAACAGATCTTGAGATTAGTGCTGGTCATGACAGGTTGTCATGAAAGTCAGTTTCAATCTTAATCATCTCAGCAGTAGACTGTAACAATAACGCTAATCTGGGACCAGGCCGAATGGCGCATTAAAGACCCCATGTGACGAATTCTGACCTGTACACTGATCAGATGCTTCTTAAACTTAAAGTCACTCCAGCACCTTTTCTCACAACACGGACCAGAAGTCTGTAGATGTAGGGAGTTCCATCAGGGGTCCACCTGATTGTCTTCATAGCATGTGCTCAATCTTGGGCTCAGTCAAATTAATAGCTTATGTCAATACAGGCATGTGTGTTTACACTGTGATAAAACAAAAAAATGGCTCAGGCTTAAGTTCAAAGCTTGGGCTTCGTTGAAGAGATAAAAACATGTAAAAAGGAAGCAGACATAGAAAAGAAGAAACCATAAGAAACAAAAGGAGCATTGTGACCTTTGGATTTGCTCATTCCTCAGAATTTATCAGCTTCAAATCCCTTATAAGCTCACTTTTTCCAACAGGAAGCAAAACAAGCAAACAAGAGCAGATTAATTAGAATTGGGGAAAATCTGTGGTGGCGGGCTGTCGGGTTCCAGTCATCAAAGCAATGGGAAAAGACCTAATGATATAGTCTTTGTTTAACACGGCAGAACAACAAACTTTGCCTGGTCCCAGTGGGATTGCATGACTAAGCACCTTAAATATGTCCCCTGTTCTCCTGCCTTACACACTAACAGGATTTATGTTTGGTTTACTGACTCCAGAATAGGTGAACCCCTCCTTTAATTTTAACTTAATCCTATAAAACTAGAGATCAGGAATCTGATTCAGAATCAAATATATTGCCAAGTGGGTTTTTACTTACAAGGAATTTCACTTGGTGTTGATGGCACAGACAGTACAGAATCTATAGCTATATTCAATATAAAACATACAATATATTATATACAATATATAGTATATAGATATATACTATATACACGGTAGACTGTGTGTTAATGTAATGCAGGAGGTCTGGAGATGCTACATTGGTGTAGCTTGTAGGTCCTGAACGGGGCAGAGAGAGAGGCAGTGTGAGTCCCACAGGGGGTCCCTGGGTCTTGTTATTAAGACTGGTAGCAGATGGGAAGAAACTGTTCTTGTGGTGTGAGGTTTTGGTCCTGATAGACTGCAGCCTCCTGCCAGAGGGACGTGTCTGAAATAGTTTGTGGTTTGGGTGCGAGGGATCAGCCACAATCTTCCCTGCACGCCTTAAGGGCAGGTTATACTCCCCGCAGCAGTGTGTCGCACTGAGATTGACGCAGACATTTTAGATTTATGCTCAATTTTGAGCGTGATCTGTATGTATATGCTGTGGGTCTAGATACGGCTTAGGCGGCTTAGGCGGTGAGGAAGTGGGGTCTGTTCAGCCCCGACTTTAGGTCCTGTGAGATGATCGTTTCCAGGAAGCTGAAATGACTCCACAGTGTCAATTGGGAGTTCTTCCTGAAGTCCACAACCAACTCCACGGTTTTTAGAGCGTTGAGCTCCAAGTTGTTCTCCCTGCACCAGGTCACCAGATGGTTCACCTCCCACCTGTAGGAGGACTAGTCACCATCAGAGATAAGTCCGATGTGAGTGGTGTCATCAGGGAACTTTGGAGGCTTGACAGACTGATCACTGCAGGTGCTGATTGATTATTAGACACCCTAAAGGAGAGATATTTAAAATTGTGTATCTGCAGTGGGAAAAGTTTACCATTTATACCATATTGCCTCACAGTTGGTTTTGCTATTTCTAAGATTGAATGTTGTACTCCCTCCTGAAAGCCTGTTCCCTGGCTTATCAACTGTGATACCATGGCCATTAAAGAAGGTTGTGTTACCTCTGGCTGTCTAAACAAGTGTGGAGAAAAAAAAGATGGAAAACCAACTTTTCTCTTTTCATCCCACAATTGTAAAACTAGCTGGTTGTCTCAACCATAGCTGCCTAATGTTAATTATCCTGTTGTGCTGTTATCAGGCACTGTTTTTTATATGTTTTTTTTTTTTTTTTTTACATTATCTTTGTATCCTTGTTCATTATCAATGCACAGAAATAAACCCTTGGTTTGAGCCTTTAAGAAAGACATGTTTTCACACATTTAGGGATGGTCTTTGGGTTTTAATGAAAACTCAAATATGTTTAACAGGGTAAGAAAAAATCTAAATTTATCATGCATGTTTCTCCCTCATCATCTCATCTTGTTGGTTTTAAACAACTTTACAACCTTGATGTTTCCAAGTTTCGTCAGCTCTCAACAGCCTCAAGATCTATTGCAAATGTTTTAATGCCTGCCCAATGAGTGCATTTCCTTGACTTTCATCATGTCTGCCGACATGCATGCACGAAAGCTTTGTGTACTCCCCGGGAAGTACATTGCACTAGATTTGATGTATAAAGTTTATTCAGGAAGTTCAGCTCAAGTTCAGAAATGACTTCATGGTTTTTCCAGAATTAGAAGGTTCTCTCTGTTTGACGTCTGACGAAATGTGTTTTTTTGCTTTTTTGCAGACATCAATGAGTGCCTGTTACCAGGGATATGTAAGAATGCTGAATGTCTCAACACCAGAGGAAGCTACAGGTGCACATGTAAACCAGGTTTTATGTTAGATGCCGCCAGGAGCCACTGCGTCTGTGAGTAATACTTGATTTCATCCTTGATTTAAAATGCCCCCCAAAAAATGTCAATTATGAGAATATAATAGATCTTCTGACTTCCCTTCAGCTGACAAGGCAGTGTCTGACCGCAGGGCCTCATGCTACCGATCGGTCTCATCTGGAATCTGCTCTCTGCCTCTTGTTAATCACATAACCAAGCAGATATGCTGCTGCAGCCGCGTTGGCAAGGCCTGGGGTGATGGATGTGAGCGGTGTCCTTTGCCTGGTTCAGGTGATGTTTTCTTTAAAATTCTGTTGCATGTCTTTGTGCTGTCTAAAAAATATGCCTCTTCTTTTTTTTTTTCTTTTTTTTTTTACTCTCCCAGCCAAGAAACATTTTGCAGGTTTTAATGTTTTTGCAGATATGAAACTTTACATGTAATACTATCAGATAGAGAGCAATGGTCAGTAGAGCACAAGCAAATAATATTTATCTCTCAGTCACCATTCTCCTGTCTGCCAGGCATGCAAAGTATTTCAAAATAACTAGATGTGTTTAGAGTGGAAAATGACCAAATACATAACAGTTTTCATATTTTGGAGGCTGCATAATGGTGAAAGTCAGCCATGTGTTATCGCTCCAGCCCTTAGAGAGAAACCCCGCTAATGTTCGGAAAGCAAAGATGCACAGCAGAAAATTCACTGACTGCCAAGTGAAACATGGCAAGTAGTTGTCATCTTCTCCTTCTTTCAGATCTAATCTTCAAAGTCTCTGAGAGAAACTGAATTGGTTTTATGAAGCCTCTATGCTGCCAAGTGATTTCTGGGGATTTTTCTAGATGAGATCCTACTCAAAGACCTCCGTGCTGTATATAGTTGCTGGATGATTGTAGGTGGTGTCTCTGCATGGCTGGACAAGATGTTAAAGCCATGCTCAGAGCAAAGCACTGGAACTAGTATAAGGAGATCTTTTAAGTTTACTCTACACTTCAGATGTGGATCCTCATCACTTATACACTCATTTCCCTCCTTTTTAACATCATCAGCCACTAGCCTATCATATCCACATTTCCTGTATTTACATGGACCACATATCTGTCATCGCTCATATTTCTATTCCAGATTCTATCCCTCTGGCGCAGAGTTACCAGTGTAGGTCAGGTAGGGGACACAGGTTTTCTCTCTTCTAATGGATTCACCATTGCTGGAGCATTTTGGGCTCAGAAACAAAGAGGTGCAGTCTGCTGTCTTTAATCTTGCTCGCCAAATCCCTCATTAGCCACTTACTCTCCCGCCTCTAAACCTGCTCTGTTCAAGCGTCAATAACTGTTATATGATACACTACTAGCTTCAGAAACATCGTTGTGTGTATGTCTTAAAGTGCAGATTTTACCACAATCTTTCTTAAATCTCCTATAACCTAGAGGTAACGAAACACTCAGACTAATGCAAAGATTCACCTTCAAGCAGGCAAACCTGGTCATACTACAGAGCTACAATGAAGAAATTTAGATTAAAGCACGGCACATTGGCTCAAGTAATTACATACAAACATTACAAAACGAATATTAAATTAAAAGAAAAATCTCCAAAAGATTTATTAAAAACTCTGGCAACTAAGGCTACAAAAATCGGAATTGAGCATTAAGACCTGCAGAGTGAACCTAGCCTAAGATCAGTAGTAAATCAGTTAGTAATAACCAAAGACTTGTGAATTGAAAAGTTGGCATACAGTCAGGAAATAATTGATTGAGGCAACTCTTAGAGATTATAAAAAGTCTGGATCCTTAAGTATTTAATGTAGAGAAATGAAATTGCCTGAACTAGAGGTGAGTATTGGCATGAGTGTTGCGCTTCGATACATGTTGCGATACTATGGTACGATACGATATTATCACGATATTGCAGTATCACTATATATTGCCATATTTTCCCCAGCTATCAAAATTAAATGATGAGATAAAACAGCAAGTGCTGTATATTTTCATCTGAAAATATTGATTAGGTATTATTACGGTATCCATGTTGTTTGGGGTTTTCTTCCACTGTGACTGCTTCAAATACAGATTTGGTGCTGCACGCACAGTTAAAGGGCTCCACAGCGCTTTCTGCCAGAGTGGTGGTGCAGAGGTAGCCCATTTTCCCATCAATGTTTTAGG